CACTTCTTAATTATTTATTCTAAATATTGTGTTTTTATTTTTTGTTTTTATAATGAATTCCCTTTATTGTATCTTATTTCTCAGAACATTTTTCAAATTCCTATATACATGCATCTATCTATAATATCTTTAAATATTTTTATATTTCAGAAATGGATATTCTAGACAAAAAAGTAGAAAGAAAATGACATCTATTATTACTTTATGAATACCTCCTTTAGTACATATGTATGCATGTGTGTATACTATATCCCTTTTTATATACATATATCACATATATCTCCTTTTATCCATCTATATATTTATGTACACATGAACTTGTGGATAAACTTGTATACATACCTGGATATACACAGATAAACTTCGTGGATAGTTATATAATCTATCAACATTTACATAATTATAAATAATACAATGCAATATATGTATATAAAGAGTGAGAAGCCCAATATAATTTTATTTTCAGTTAGCATATTGTATGAACCTTCAACTTTCCATAATCATACATAGATATATTCTACTGTTATTTAGTTTATAATTCTAATGTTAACCTATAAAAGTTGCTCAGGCTCACTCAGATTCATTGATGAGTAAAGGTGGCCTAGCAATCTGAGAAAGCATGTAGTGAACCTCATAAAGTAGTTCACACATTTTCAGCACACCAAAATTCATTCAACAAATATGTATTGAGAATCTACTGTATAACAGGATTTCCCTTAGCCACTCACAAAGTACTATTACAAAACAAGTGAAAATCCTTACTTCATGAAGCTTGGAGTTGAGGGAGAGACATCTTAAAATAACAACAAAGACAAAATATAAACAAACATCTAAATAAAATGGTGATTCAGACTATGAAAGAGAACAGTGTAGAAAAATGTTAAAACTAAAAATGTGTTGAAAAAGTTTCTTAAAAGCTTCTGTAAAAAAAAGAGAAAAATCTGAAATTAAAAATATTTGTGGTACTTTTTTTGAAGCTTAGGTGATGATAAGTTAACATAGTAATAAAATAATTTCTTGTTTATTTTAGTTTGTAATTTTACAATGAAGACAAAAGTTAGAGGCAAGAGAGAAGAAAAGGCTTAACTCTAAAATTTTAAAGTGATTCTAAGTTATATTTTATTCAGGGCTTTTGAATTAAGCAAAGAATCTTTGCCTTTATAACCTTGAATGTAGAAATTAATAAAGTGCAATGAGGGCTTAAATTGGCTGTCCATTCATATTTATCATAGGCAGTTTGAGGTAAGATATGAAGCAAAACATAATATTGATTAATAATGATGTTAACTGTGTGGTCAAACCTTCATATTAAAATATTCAAGTTCACTAAAGAGAAGTTTCCCATGATTTTTTATATTCAGGGAATGACTGACAACCCACCTATTGGCAATGGCGGGTGGTGCAAGACAAGATGACCTTCAGAGGTCTTTTCTTGCAAATCTGGGATATTAAGGCTATGTAACACAAATTATGTCCTGAAAAAAAATTCCAAAGTTCTACATGAGAAGGTTTGTTTATTCAAAAAATACTGAAGGTCAGTTATATTCCTGGAAGTATTCTAGACACTCAGAATGAATAAAACAGATAAAGTCTATAGTCTTATAGAGCATTCATCATAGTGGGAGATGCAGGCAGTAAAATAAAATGAACAAACAAATATATTATTGGGTAATGCTAAATGCTTAGAAGAAGAATAAATCAGGGTAAACGTAAAAGGACTATGGACAAGTGTGGGCTGTTTTAAATGGGGTGATCAATCAGAAAATTTCTCTCCTATTACTTGGCATGTAAGTAGAAACCTGGATGAATGAAGGAAGACATTTGTGAATATCTAGGGGAAGCCAGTGGCAAAAACAAGTATAAACCTTGATGAGAACATAAAAGAGACAGCAAGGGGACTATTATGACAACACTTAGTCACAGCTGTTTTCAAACTTTAGCATGTATCAGAATCAACTGGAGAGTTTGTTAAAACACCAGCTCTCCCCCAGTGATTCTGACGCTGTCAGCCTTGGGACTGCGTTTTGAGAACCGCTGCTATGTACAGTGGGCAAGAGAAATGCGAGAAGTAGTTAGGAATGAGGTGTTGAGTACATTTTTATTTCATCCACACTGTATATAATGTAATGTGTATCACAGTTTAATATGTATTATAATAATGTCACATTATTTTATGTTGTTATAGAGTCTTGTGGGCTGTGAACTTTGTTTTATTCTGAGATAGAGAAGAAGCCATTGGTTTAACAAGATTCTTAATTAGCACAAGTCAGAAGCAATCTAAATAGATATTTCATTAGTATAGTATGTGGAACAGGTAAAGACTTCTGTACTAATGGCTGAACTAGTTCATAATTAATATTGCTTGAGAATGTTGAAAATGTGCATGTATTCATCACCTGTAAGAGGAAAGAACTGCAGTTTTTCTGTGAATTTAATTAACTCCAAACTTCTTAAAAAATAGCCATGACCATCTCAATTTCTATAAAAAGCAAGAGGATATTTTCCTGCACATTCAGCACGGATAGATGTTACAGCCTTCCTAAAGCCTCTGATAAAATATCTCTCATGTAAGGGGACATAATCACTCATTATGTCTAGTATTTAATTCTATTTTGTCCATCTCAATAAATAGGAAGGACTAAAGTGATTCTACTATACAGCTATAAAAATAGCTTAAATTCTTTTTAATAATTTCAAATGTGAAGCTAACGACGTTCAACGTCACAAGTTTCACATTCTGAGTTTGTAACAGAGGTAACTAGGCCTAGACAACTTTAAAAATATGTATTATGTCCAGACAGCTTGAAATTTTGGAGGCTGCTGCACAAAATGTATAGCAAGCCCACCAATTTGCAATCTCCTAACAATGTTTTCAGATCAATGCTTTTCATTGCTTTATTATTTTGTCTTTTGTAAACAATTCTAATTAGGTACATGAAGGGGAACCTATAAATGAAAGTGGAGAACAAAACAAAACTTCATATAATGGAAGGGGCTTAGGTAAAAAAATGAGAGCTATTTCCTGGACAATGAAGAAAAAAACGGGTAAAAAATACATTAAAGCCCTCTCTGAGGAAAAGGTAAGTGTACTCTGTTAATCACCTGTATTTTCCTATTAATTTTTGATTAAAATGTTCAAAAAGTTCTTCTTCTAGATATGGAAGTACTTGGTGGTTTATGAAGGACTTCAAACTATTTCCTTCATCAATATTTGTGTGCAGAAGTTGGATGGAAGAAAGTATCATTACTCACATTTTAATACAGGAAACAGGCTCAGAAACACCACATTTGTCATTTCTGTTATAACATTAGTACTTCATTTCTTTTTATTGTCAAATGATATTCCACTTTACAGGTAAGTCTCATTTTATTTATCCTTTCATCAGTTGATAAACATTTGGGTTATTTCCACAGTGGGACTGCTATAAATGATGCTGCTATGAAAATTTGTGTGCAAGTTTCTATGTGAAATTTTCTTTCATTTCTCTTGGGTATATGGTGACTGTCTGATACTCTGAGAAACTGAAAAACTATTTCCCAAAGCAGGTGCATCATTCTGCATTCCCACTAGCAATGCGTGAGAGTTCCACTTTCTCCACATGCTTGTCAGCACTTGTTATTGTCTGTCTTTTTGATGCAGGCCATCATAATGGGTGTGGATTCTCATTATAATTTGATTTGCACTCCCCTGATGACGAATGATGTTGAGAATCTTTTCATGTGCTTATTAGTTATTTGTATATCTTCTTGTGAAAAGTGTTTATTCATATCTTTTACCTGCTTTTAAGTTGGGTTGTCTTTTTATTGTTGACATTTAAGCCTTTTAAAAAAATATATTATGGATACTGGCCTTTATGAAATGTATGGTTTGTAATATGATATATTTTATCCCATTCATGGATTGTATTTTCACTTTCTTGATGGTATCACAGCAAAAATGATTGTAATTTTGATGTAGTTCAATTTATTTTTTCTTCCATCAGTTGTGCTTTTAGTATTGTATTTAAGGAACCATTGCTTAATCTAAGGTTACAAAGATCTACTTCTATGTTTTCTTCTAAGAGTTTTATAGTTTTAGCTCTTAAATTTTGGTGTATGATCCATGAATTTTCTATAGGGTGTGTGATAGGAGTCCAACTTCATTCTTTGAATATCAATATTCAGTTGTTCCGACACTACTTGTTGAAAAGACAATTATTTCGCCATTGTCTTGGCATCCTTGTTGAAAATCAACTGATCATAAACATATGGTCATAAATATATGGGCTTATGGACTCTCAATTTTATTCCATTGTTCTATATGTTTTATATCTATTCTCTTATTAACCCTCCTGGGTCCTTCTGCCCCAGTACTCTATTGAAACAGTTCTCACAATCAGTATTAACCTCTATGTTGCCAAACCTAATGGTCATTTTTCTTTGTTCTTACATGACTTTTCAGCTGTATTTGACACAATTGATGATTTCATTAGATATGAAACATTCTCTTTTCTTGGTTTCTCTGGGCATTCTTCTCTTTCCTTCTTTCTCATAGTTTCCTTTCTTGGCTCTGCTTTCTTTCTTCTCTTTCTAAATATTGAGTCTTCCTGAGGGTTGTTCCAGGATGCTCTACCTAGTTTAGTCTCTCTTCCTAAGAGATCTCATCCAGTATTGTGACTTTGTTTTCCACAATTACATCTCTAGCTATGATCTCTTTACATATCTCTTAGACTTATATAACCAACTGCTTATTTGATATTATCACTTAGGTGTACAATAGATATCTAGCACCTAATATATCTAAAACTGAATTGTTGATTCTCTGTGTTCTACAAAAAAAAGTTTGTTTCTTGTCCAGTCTTCCAAGTAGAAATAGGCAACACTCTCATAACTGTAGATGCTGGAAATAAAGGAAGGAAGGAAAGAGAGAAAGAAGAAAGCCTACAAATTCAAAATTCCTTCTTCTCACGTTTTACAACAATCCATCAGCATATCCCCTTGTTTTTAACCCCAAAGTATATCTAAAACCCCTAACTTCTCCATGTAAATTATTCTTGCTTCAGACTAAGTAACCAACCCCTTTTGCCTAGATTACCTAATGGTTTCCTTTCTTCCACTCTTTACTCTGTAAAAGCCATTCTCCACATGAAAGCCAGAAAGATCTTTGAAAAGTCAAATTCAGAACACAACACTTCCTTGGTTAAAATTTTACAGTTCCTCACAATGTATTCCCTTACCATGAGATGTTCATTCCAGTCCTGAGAAGTAGACCCCAAGAAGGGAGTAGTAACGCCAAAGTTTTATGGGGGGAAATGCCTGTGAAGGATAAAGAAGAGAAATTAAAAATGAGCAAGGAAATCCTTCAGACTACAATGCAAGTGTGACATTTATAAAAGGAGAGGAAGAAAGAAGGAGGATCATTCAAGTCTCAGACTTCAACACTGTTCTGAGAAAGCTTTGGCTAGATTGATGGGAAGTCCTGAACAAAAGTTTTCCATTAGAGAAAGTGCACATCCCACCAGACTGGATGCAAATGGTAGCCCCGCTGTTTCAGTCACTGGAACATGGTTTCCATGCAAACACAGTGGTTGATATAGAGGGGCAGTAGTTGGGGCTGTCAACAAAGGAAGGGTCCTGCAGCAAGAGATCTTAGCGCACATTTTGATGGTCCCACAAGTGGCCTATAAAACCTTCCTGATTTGCCTCCAGTCTGCCTCTGTGAGCTGATATCCTAATACTCTCCTTGCTCCCACTCAGCTCCAGCTACACTGACCTTGTTTTCCCCTGCATAACCCAAGCTAGTTATGAGTTTAATGATTTTGTTTTTGCTGTTTCTTTTGCTTGGAAAACTGTCTCCAAATCATATGTTACATCTTCTTATCATTTAAGTCAATAATTCAGAGCATGTATAATTTTACAGAGGAGGTCTTTGGGGCTGTTTTCCCTAACCAGCTAACCTTCCTCCAACCCTAATCTCAGTAGCTAATCCTCTCATACTACCCAGTTTTATTTCCTTCATAGCACTCATAATTCTCTGAAACTGTTTTGCTCATTTTGTTTACACAAATCTCCCCGAACACTACAAACATACACACACATGCCCTAACATGCTAAAATGTACCTCATTAGAGGTAGGACCCTGTTATCTTGTTTACCATGGTATCCCCAGTTTCCAAGAGAATGCCAAGTACTTAAAAGCTGTTCTATAAACTTGTATTGAATGACTGAACAGATGAATAAAGGAATGGAGAAAGCAGAGAACAAAACTGAGTGTATATCATACGTATATTCTGAGTTTGTATTGATGTTTAGAAATGCTCAAAAATAAGGAATATTGAATTACATTTTGATGAATATTAAGAAATTCATGGGTTTTGTTCAAACTATCTAAATATGGAAAACATGTGAGATGTTTTCAAGCAGATGTAATTTCTTTTGAAATTGTCTGTCTTTCCTAATTTTATGCAAGATTTGCTTTTCACTTGACTAGGTGGCAAGCACCGTATGAGATTTGTAAAGCTTCTTAGATAAGCTTTGCTTTAGAATTGCAAAGTGTGCATGTTTTATTCATATCTAGTGATCTGGTAGAGTGCAAATAACTGACATGAAGCAACTATGCAGAGTTTAGACTTGTAATATCATATCTCAAAGGATTAGTAATGGTGGTAAATACATGATAAGGAGAACATGAAGAAATAAAAGTGATTTAAAAGATAAAGCACAGATGTTAACAAATTTAACATTTCTGATTAAATGGTCTTGATATGGTATTTATCCCAATTACAAAAATGAACTGTTATAATATCAGTTAAATTCCATAATGTGGAATGTCCCATCTAAAGGATTTTTCCAAGTATACCATAAAATGTTTTGCTATAAATTGAACTAAAGATTAATGACACTCATATTTTATGCTGATGTATTCCTAAGTATTTTATTGCTAAAATATGTCTTGTTTGTTAAATCAATGCACACAGAAAAAGTCTCAAGGAAATCAGTTCTTTGCACTTAACCTCTGATACGATTTTCTGAAGGATGAAGAAGATGGAGAGGATACCCTCCCATATCGGAACAGTGACCCCATGATTGGAACCCATACAGAGAAGGTCTCCATCAAAGCCAGTGACTCCATGGACAGTCTCTACAGTGGGCAGAGCTCATCAAGTAAGGCTACAGAATAAGTGACATGATCCTACATAGGTCTGAGTTAAGTTAATTAAAAATAGCAGATTTATTTCTCTTGGGCTTGTTTGTCAAAATAGCAACAAGGTTCCAGCTACGTGATGAGAGAAATACTAAAAAGTAGGAAGTGTTGAATCTATAGAGTTGCTATTGTTTAAAATGATACATAATATATTAGAGTTATAGATTATTTTAAAACTTTTAGCATTGTAGTCAGCAGGGCTCTAAGGGATATGCATCAAAAAGAACATGGTGAGTGATTAAACCTGAATACCTAAAATAACATGTGCTGGGAAGAACTAGTGTTATCTTGAGTCAAAATTTTTCAAATGACTTGAAGTATTCAGATAACTAAAATCCTCTTCTCTGTCTCTTTCCCCTCCCTCCTCCTTCTCCCTCCCCTGTTTACTTCTTTCTATCCTTTTCTCTTCTTTCCTTCCTTCCTTCTTTCCCTACTCCCTCCCTCCTCTTTTCTTTGTTTCTTTCTTTTTCTCTCTTTCTTTCTTTCACTCTTTCCTGTTCTGCCCTCTCTCACTTTGTCCTTCCAACTGTCCAATTAGGTGACAAAAAGGAATCAGCATGTGTTCAACAAGAATTTTCTAAAAACATCATTTTTAACAAAGAAGGCACTCAGATTTCAGTCACATAATCTCACTATAACATTTGGATGAAACCACTGACACCACAGCGAGCCTTATAATTTTTATATGTGCACTGTTATGCATCCCTCTAATCTTTTCAAGGTTTTAAAATGTTTTTTGCAGTTTAACTTTCGTTTCATTTTAAATCAACTGCTTCTGTTATTTGAAGATGGATCACAAAGACCAGATGTTTCAAATATGCTGAATTTTATTCCTACTTTCCTATTGGCTATAGAACAGTTATTGTGTGAAAAAAAAGCTAATACAGAAACATCTGAGGGATATATTTTTGCATGTGTGATTTCACATTTCATTAGTATTCATTTCTGCTGGAAGTTTTAAAATTCGAAATTGTGATACTGAATGTGGGTAGAATTTTATTAATTCGACTACACCATGAAAAGTCAGAGCCTGGGGCGGTCATGGAAGGGAGGGCGTAGAGAGATGGTGGTCTACTTAGCTGGCAGCATATACAGCTTCATTTCTGTGATTAGATACAACTCACCTTTCTTCTGCACAAGTCCATATAAAAAATGGAACATCTCTAAGGATCTTTACCTTATTTCCATAGGTATTAGAATGAATGGTAGAGACACTGGGACTTGTCCCTACCATAGAACAGAACACTGGGAGGCCACACTGAAGGAGAAAGTGAGGTGACAACTGAGAGTGGTGGGGAGACTCAGAATTACTTCCAGTGGGAGCCATGCTTGACCCCAGGCAAGCATGGGATCTCTTTTCTCTTTCCCCCCGAGGTTCAAAATCAGAAAGGAAAAGGACCCAAGAACAAGGATTCAGAGCCATTTTAAAGGCCCAGTTTAGAAGAGTTTTGAATCATTTAGTAATACAGACATTGGAACACACTTCCTCCTTCCCTGACACTCTCACAACAAGCAAAAATGCTACCTTTTATGCACAGAAATGTTGCCTCAAAATGGCTTTTGGTACACATTAGGAAGTATGAGGCAGTGTATTTGCTACTCCGTGATAAGTTGTACGGAAACTTGTGGTCTTAAGTTTTGACCATTCCTGATCAACAGATTACAGAGATCAAACTGCTGCTACAGGTTTCTGTCTTTGCTTACATGTACAAAATTAATTATCTGTCTTGAACAGGGAGTCAGGTCTATACTGTCTGCCTCTTTAGCAAGTGTCCAACCTCAAAACAATGTGCTACTGGATTGAACCATAGAGACTGAAGTAAGAGGGCGTTTGGGTTAGTGAATAAGGAAAACGTGGTCAGACTGGCTGGAGAAATATCAGAAATGGCTAAGAGGACAGAAGCCACTGGTGGAGAATGACTGGGAGGCAGAAAGAGTCACTGAAAGCCCCATCAGGAGGCTGGCATCCAATGCTTCAGCATCATCCCTGCTTAGTTATGGCCAGGAGATGGTTCAGAATGTTATGAACCTTTGGTGAGAACTGCTAACCTCTGCTTTGCCTTCTCAGGTGGAATAACAAGCTGCTCAGATGGGACGAGTAACCGGGACAGCTTTCGACTTGACGACGACGGCCCCTACTCTGGACCATTCTGTGGCCGTGCCAGAGTACATACAGATTTCACACCAAGCCCCTATGACACCGACTCCCTCAAAATCAAGGTGTGTGCACATCATATATCTGCATTCTGTATGGCTTGTCTACTGCTGGGTGTATGATCTGTTTCAGGAAGTGCAAGTATTGGGAACTAGCGGGTAAGTGTGTTCTTCCCAAGAGCAGAACTGGGAACTGGTTTACTGTAGCAGGAATTTTAACAAAACATGCAAGGTAGAATAGGGGAATCAGTCGTTTGAGGTTATGAGCAAAAGTTACATCATGTACATAATGCAGAATCAGAGACTACGAAGGGAGAAGAAATTGTCTACATTTTTCTGAAAACCAAAAATCTCACAAATTGCTGGAGATGCTCAGTTCTGCCTGGTATGTGCTGAAGTAAGAATCACGAAGCCAAGGTGAGGGAGAGAAAATGAAAATATTTGGCAAGAGTCCAGCAGAGCAAATGCCTTGAAAACCAGACTTGGCTGGGCAACTTTAGTACTTAAGTCGGTACTTGGAAATGCCATGTGCAACCTGACAACTTTCTCTCAGTGATATTCCCCTCTGAATTCCCTTTTTACTCTTATTCTCTCTCGTTATCTTTTGCTCCAAGGGCTTCAAACACCACAAATGTATTATTTCACAGTTCTGTAAGTCTTACATGTGCGCATGGCTCCACTGCATTCTCTTCTTAAGGTCTCACTGGGTTGAAATCAAGGTATCAACTGAGACTGTGATCTCACCTGACACTTAGGATCCTTTCCAAGCTCACTTGCTGCTGGCAGAATTTCAGTTCGTTGTGCTTGTAGGACTGAGGCTTCTGCTTTCTTGCTGGATATCAACCAGGGGCCATTCTCAGTCCCCTGGGGTTGCCAGCCATGGTCCTTTCTATAACATGGCAGTTTGCTCCTTCAAAGGTTACAGGAGAAAAGCTCATTCATGCTTCAAATCATTTTTATTTTTAAGAGATCATACATGATTAAGTCATGAATACCCAGATAATCTCCCTTTTAATTCCCAAATTAAGTAATTTGGGACATTAATGACATCTGCATAGTCTCTCTGTCATATAACACAATATAATCACAGGTGTGAAATTCACCATTTTCATAGTCCTGTTCCACTCAAGGGGAGGAGTTGTTACAGTAGTACAAATAGAAGGTTTACTGCTAAAATATTTTATTGATGTTAAACTATTCCTTTTAGTTACACAAAATGCTATACCTAAAAGGATAGAAATTACAACTTTCCTATACTGTCAACATCAAACTAATGTTAATCAATAATTATTATAAGCTGTGAAGTATTAACGTTATTATTTAACATTCAGAGCACTCAGTTCTTCTCTTTACCTCTTTTACAGTATCAGATCAGAGTAAGATAAGCTGGAGAATGAGGAAAACATTATTCCCTACAGTTAGCTCTTTAGTTGTTTCTATGAAATGATTTGAAGTCTTAAGTTCAGGTCTTGGAAAAAGGATGCTTGCAGCCAAGTAAGCACTGAGGGGGAGGGCAGGAGAAGGTACGAAACTGAAAACATTTAACTCAGGTAGCTTTTACCTTCCCTACAACACCATACCGGTGCACTACTGCTGGTGCTGCCTACAGGGACATTTGTGGAGCTCTTGTAGGACACAGTCAGAACCCCACAGTTACCACTGAGTATCGAATATTACTGTTTCCATCAAGGGTCTTAATCCAAAATGAAATTGGATTTTTGCTTGTGACCTGTGGGCTTTTCTGAAATGTATACTTTTTATAAGTTTAAAGGTTAATAAGAAGGATGCAGCAGAGGGCTGCCATGCTTAGTAACTTCCCCTCGAGCTTCTGGGGATTTTTCTAGTCTCTTTAGCTGATCCCATCTTGCCCAGGATTTAACTAAAGCAGGAAAAACTAGATAAACAGCTCACAGGGTCAGATGGGCAGACTATCATAAATCAGAAAGACTAATCTTTTAATCACATTAAATTCTACAATTATAAATACAGTTTGTGTTTTAGATGGAAGAATACACATTCACAGAGTATCAGGAAAAATATTTTTAGTAGCAGACTCAATGCTTTGTCTGTTTGAGGGTAGAATGGCAAAAATATCAGAATTTATAATGTCCTCTCTAGGGTAGAAAACTGTAAGTCTCAAAAGAGTAACTATTACTCTTAAGTGAAGACAATGTATTTGCAAAGAAATCAACTTCTTTTTACAAAAAAATACTCCTGTGGAGTTTTCTATTCTTGCCAATAACTGGCAGCCTGCAGTCTTAGCCTTAGATGTGAATAAAGAGAAAGACCAATTGGTTTGTCCATCCCAATGCCCTTCATTCATACTTCAATCCCAACTTTGTGTGGAGCTCCAGCTAAGTATTAATTAAATCATCACAACTTAATCAAGTATTAAGTTAGAATAATTAATTAGCATAATTTATCTTAGTACATACATGCTTTTGTTATATATCTGTTATGTACAAAGTTCTGAACAGTTTCATTATTTTAAGTGAGTGCAATACTGTAGGTGGGCTTATTTTATACTGTAGATTAATTTTTCAGATGAACTAGAAGCATGTACAAAGTCAAGGACTTCTCTCTTCCTCTTTCCCACCTGGGAGCCCCTCCAGAAATGATGTCTTGAGCTTTGCTACACATATATTGCTTTGAGAAGCATGAAGGAAAAGAGCATCATTTTTGAGTTAGGACAACTTAGGCTTGAGTTCTGGTTCTGCCATTAACTTCCTGTAAGCTCTTGGAAAATTATTTAATGTTTGAATTTCTTTTTCTGTAATATTTCAAGTAATAATGACACCTTATATATATATATATATCCAAGAGGTATGTTGTGGGCATAAAATGACTTAATATGCAAAAGTGTTTTGTAAACTATGGGATGTCCACAAATATAAGTTGATAAGTTAATATAGTACCAAAAACAACCACATCATCAAATGCATTTAGAAGTTTTTCTTCAAGCATTTGAAGCTTTTTTCAGTATTACTTGCAAATAGTTTCTTGAGCTTTTAAAAGAAATTTCCTCTTAGACTTATTTCTAACCCTAACCCTCCTTAGCATAATGCCCAGATTATCTTAATTTTCAGTGATTTCATTATTTCTACCAATTGTCACAGCACTAGAGTTCTCTGAAATCTAATTTATGTATTTCTTTGTCCTCAGAAAGGAGATATCATAGACATTATCAGCAAGACGCCAATGGGGACGTGGACAGGAATGTTGAACAATAAGGTGGGAAACTTCAAATTTATTTATGTGGATGTCATCTCAGAAGAAGAAGCAGCCCCCAAGAAAATAAAAGCACACAGAAAGAGTGGAAAGGAAAAACCCCAGACTCTACAGGAGTTCTTAGAGAGGATTCACCTTCAGGTTAGCAAACGTGTGGCCTGTTTGATTTGGTGGCATGTGGATGAAATAATTGGGGAGAACGGATCAGTGTTTGTACAGTGTTGCTAAAAAATACATGACTTACAGCAAGGGAAAAATCTATTTTCCAGGAAGAGTTCATATTTGTCTGTTATTACTTTTATTTTGCAAGGACAGGTCTTGATATAACATCCCTTGGACTAAACTCTAATGATACTTAGCAGTCACAGTAGAGATTAAAGTTGAGAAAGCATAGTGAGAAGTAAAATAAACCTGGGAGACTAAAAGGTCCAGAGAAAACATGAAAATGAGAATGATAAAGAGAACATAAAGAATGAAGGTAAAACTCCAGAGAATTGAAAAGAAAACTGAATTTTCTACAGAGCAGAGATCAAAAGCAAGTCAAGAGAAGACAACTAAATATAATTGTTTTAAAAGTAATTTGTTAGGAGACAGTGATCATTAAGTCCCCATGATGATTGTGTTAAGGAAACTGTGTTGTCCATATTTATAATCCAATTATTTTCTTGTTATATTAGAAAAATTTTTTATGAAATGTCTGTTGTTAAATGGCATGTCCGTGTACATACAATATGCCTAACCTCACTCAATTTATTGTTTTGCAATTCATTTCTAAAGTTAACACAGCAGAACTTTAATAGTTTTCAAAATTTATCAAGGTGATAGCCAATTAAACTTTCCTTAATTGTTTTTCCTGAATTATCTAGTTATATTCCTGTCTGCAAACACACTTCATAGGCCTTCTAATAATACTACCAGTGACCCCCAAATGGAGTATTCCTTGAAGAAAGCACAAGTTTGAATCCTGCTTCAGCTACTTGTTTGTTCTGTGACCTGTGAAAAAAATCAAGGTCTAAGGAAGTGAAATAACTTAAGAACCCACAGTTAGATAGCTACATCAGAATGGGAATTTTGGTTTCTTTTCTTTTTTTTTTTTTTTTCCATTCTACCTCATTATTTTTAAAAGAACTGCTATATCGTTCCTTTAAAAAAATAAAGGGCTGGTAATAATTTCTTTCTGATTCCTTAAAACTTTTATACTTCCTGTTATTTTATTTTAGTAACTAAAATGAGGATGTTGAATTATGATCAAGTAAAATAGGAGGAATTTTTGAGGAAGTTGAAAAGCATTCAAATTCACTTTACATTTTTATTCTGTTAGAGAGAACAGAGGTTACATAAATAACATACCGACTTTGAAATCAGAAGCCTATGAATTTTAAACTAATATATATTGATGCAAATGATGGACAAAATATACATGCTGAGAAAAGGAAACAATACTTTTCCCAACCAGAGTGTTTTATGCTTAATAAAAGTTTTTAATTAAATAGAAAGTTTGGGGTTCCTTATGTTTATACAATGCTTTTCAACCAAAATGCTGTCTACTTTTTATATAAATTGTGTCTGTTTTGAATTCATTTTTTAACTGACCCCAAGAAGTTAATGAGGGTAGATGATTTTGCAGTCAAGCAAACAAGAAGAGATGTAGATCCAGAAATATTATTATATTATACTCTATTAGAGCCATTTTATTGATAGGCTTCATAACATGTTAGCTTTGTCAATTTAGCTATTTGAGAAGTGAAAAAGTGCCAAATGATATGAATGATCCAGCTATTTAATTGATCTGTGATTTAGCATTGTGGAGCTTAAAGAAATCGTCTCTTCTTTACATTTGTCCTTGCAGAAGGTGAGAACTATACAACAGACTCTTTAAATGCCGAGTTCATATGCGGAAAACTAGTGCAAATAAAATAAAGTTAAGCAAAAGTTGTTGGCACCTTTGGTTTTGATATGCATTTCTACACTTTTTTTTTTAATCTAAAGAGAACTAAAAATAAAATAATTGAATCTGACAAGCTTATATTATACATATTTTTCCCCCACAGGAATATACCTCAACACTTTTGCTCAATGGTTATGAGACCCTAGAAGATTTAAAGGATATTAAAGAGAGTCATCTCATTGAATTAAACATTAAAAACCCAGAAGATAGAATGAGGTTACTATCAGCTGCTGAAAATCTCCTTGATGAGGAAAGTAAGTGTGCATACCCACTCTTCTCAACTGAGAATCACAGTTTAATGTACATAGTAAAATCATGAAAAACAAAGCCACAGTTTTATTTACTGAGAATCATATAAAGCATGCTTTCCCATAAAATAAGTATTTTCTTGGAAACAACAGCTCTGGTCAAACCTATAATTAGAAAGAGGGCCTTTTTTTCTTATTGGACTCAGAAAATGGAAGGACTTCTCTGGGTACCTCATTTAGATTCTGCAGCGCTATTAATTCATACACAAGTGGATGCCTGCATTGCCAACGACTGGGGGAGTTAGAGACAAATATTTAGTGACAGCATGAGCCATTAGTGAGAAATGTCATATGCGACTGTAGAACAGCACAGAGCATGGCTCTGAGCTAATGAGCCTTCATGCCACACAAGAAAATTCATTTCATTACCATATAGGCACATCTTGTACGTGTTTATAGTATTCTTTCAAAATGCTATAATAGCTTGCAAAAATATTCAGCACTCATTTTTATTATCTGAGATGGTTCTCTGTATTTGTAAGTATAAACTAAAGATCGAGTAACACATGCAGATTCACTTGAAACAGTCCACACCAACTGGGTTTGTAAAGACAGGATAGCTTGTGTTTTTACAATTGCCCGATCTGAGTATTCTTCTTACTAAATCTGGCTGGGCTCCCAAAGTCCTGAGTGTAGGGAGTGCCAAACTCTGCAAGGAGTATTTTGTTAGGAAAAAAAAAGGAGGGGGAGGTAACTAATTTTAAAGATGAAAAAGAACTTAGATCATCTAATCCAACCTTCTCTTTCAAAAGTAATATTAATAGTAATCATTTATTAGTTTTGAACATGTTCTCTGACTAAAACTTTGAGCCAAGGTCTTTACATTTATTATTTTCTTTAATGTTCTCCGCAACTCTATGAGTTAGGTAGCCCCACCATTTTTATAATGAGAAATTGAGAAGATGAGTGACTTGTCCAAGCTCACATACCTAGTGAACTAGAAAGGTAGCACCAGTGTTGGTGATGCTGTACTATATACAATTACTAACACTGCAAATAATAGCCCAGATACAGGGTAAGGAGGAAAGCCTCCTTGGAGGTCTCCTGACTGTCCCTTCGGGAGCTTTACTATATCCTCCCTCATATGCCCCACAAAATGGCACAGTTGAACAGCACATGTCTATTATATAACAGCCTTTTATCCAGCAAGAATTAATTTACATTTTTAGAAATCGTACCTCAACGTAATTCTTACTTGCTGTCTTGAGTTTGCACAGATTCTCATCCTTTCCAAAGAGCTTTCACAGGCATTGCTAATTTGACACCCCCAGAATTGATCTCAACCTTAGGCTTAGGTGTTTATATGCATTCTTTGAAGCTGTGGAGGATGGGAGATGCAGAAGCAAGGGCAATCTGGTTCCAGAGGCAGACAGAGGTCAAATATAAAGTAGCCAATCTACTCAAAAGTACAAGGGAAAACAAAACCGAGCAGTGTAAATTGATGTAAAAATAGCTTCCGGGTAAATGAGGTAAATGAGGAATCCCATCTTGTCATTTCAAAACATGGCTCTTTACTGAGCAATGTGACACTAAGAAATGGATTCTGTAGATTTCTGGTAATTGATAAGTTGCAGTATCATTGTCAATACTTTCCAAAATAAGTTGATGCTAAAGTAGAGGGGGGAAGAATATTTAATTGTTTTCCTTATACAATAACAACCATGTAGATATTTTGCCCATTTTATAGATGAAAAATATTTCATAGATGAATTTCAAAGAGGCCAAATAGCTAGGTTAGTAGCAGAGTTAGAGTTCTCATCAAAGACAGTCTGCTATAAAAATCCAAGTTTTTTCTTCCACACATACAAACTGGTAAAAATTAATAAAATGAGTATTTGAAAATTCAAGTTTTCTACTACTTTGCCAATTTCCCCAAGTGCTTCAGTTCAATTTTCAATCTCAGAAAGTAGAAGCTAATATTTAAGTGAGAACAGAAACTTTGCAATAGCATGGTGTCCTGAAAGGTGAAAAGTTAATATGGCTGCATTGCAATAGGATTTGTGAATGGAAGGGGCCAGAGAGCCTCCATAAGCAGGCTTTCAGCCATGAAACAATGTTCAGCAGGGGCCCACAGAGGGAAGACCAGCCCAATGCCAAAGGCATGGGCCACTTAAAGTGTCCACTTAATTTCTTTATTCCACTTCCCTCATCATCCATCTACTTTCTATGTTAACAGAAGAATAATAATTTATGGATGATACCACATTAGAGCTACATGTAATTTTAAAAAAAAATCTGACTCAAATTCTTCCTTTGCAAGATGGGTAAACTAAAACTAGAGTAGTCAAGTAGTCTTCTCAAGGTCACATATCGAGAATCCAGTCTCCAAAATCTAGTAGAAACACATTCTACTCAATCCTGGTCTCTGAAAGCAAAACACAGTATCTCCAAAGCATGATGTGACTTTCAATGTTTGATATAAAAAAGTAGAAATTCCCTGAATTATTCCTCCTTATAAAACTTTAGAAAACAGTACTTGAAGGTCACTAGAGGTTGATCATTTAATAATAGCCAGTAATGTACAAACATACCCGCACTGAACCAAATTCTGGGAGATGAAATATGGAACAAATGCAGATTCAACCAGTGTTTGTTGTCAGCACACAACTCTGAGATTTTTCTTCTTTTAATCTTACGGTCTAAAGTAGTATTAGAATATACATGTCAAAAAGATGCATATTGCATGTTAGGCTATTCTGACTGAAAGCTATTTATCTTATATGAAACTGCTTTGCTCAAGAAATAAAGAAGAATGACTTCTATTCGTTGATAAGATAGTGAGTTCTGATGATTCGGCACCATGCTGCTGCATGCTTATTTTTATCTATTCTGTACTCTGTGAATCATATCTTCTACAACCATGCTAAAGATTAAATGCACAACCTTCATGTACCTTGAATGATAAAAACCTTGAATATATGGTTGTTTAAAACTGAGACAATTTTAAACAAATGCACATTACAGTCATAGGTTAAAAATAGTTAGCTTTTGTGTGTGTGTGTGTGTGGAAGAATGGGGTATGCAAATTGGTCAGGATTTTATGTATGCATTTTATTTTAATCATTGAATAATGTCAGTTTGGGGAACATCAATGAATTCCTAGTTTAGAGTTTCATTGCTTCTTAGGTTGGAAACTGAAAAGTTTTGCTTTGCTAATCTACTCATTATAAAAATTGAGCAGAGTGGGCACCTATTTTGAGGACCAGAGTTAAAGCTTTCAGATCATGTAGAAAAGACCACAAGCTCCCTGTGAGCCTTTAATACATCTGGAGGGCCCAAGAGGATAGGGGATGGAACGGGGACAGACAGAAATCTAAGACTTAGAGCAAGCAATTTTCCTTTTCTCTTAGGCCTAAACAGATAGTACCGTAACTACTTTGACCTTGAAAACCTAAAGCAGATTAAGCTTTTTTAGGTCACTGCTTGACCAGAGGAAAAGATGCTTCTTTAACAACCTGATAGTAGGGCTGGTGAGTGCTGGTGGAGCTGATCACAGTATTACCTTGGAACAGAATAATGAATTTGGGGTTCTGCAATCCCAGGCAAGACCAGTACAGAGATGTTCTGAATTTGTTCTCATGTTGCATTAGAACTGAGCAGAATTAGGCCCCTGGCTCCCTCAACTGAGAATCTAGATGAGGTTAGAAAGAGAAAAAAAATTAGAATGAAATACTCAGCTCTTAAAAGAGCGAAAGAGTAGAATATGTTTATTTTGTACACATTAGATTTTCTCTATTTATCCTCTGAATTTTAAAATGGCTTATTTACTTTGAATAAATATTCCCAGCAAGTAAAAACGAATAGAGACTATGTGTGTGTGTGTGTGTGTTGTTCCTTAAACACAACCTTCAAGCCTCTTTGCCTCGCTGAGAAAGGCCTCTTTAGAATAATATGATAGTTAACTGCTGTTTATAGTAAATATTTTCTTTTTCTTCTGAATGTGTTTCTCTTTTCCCACATTTAGAAGCACTTTGATGTGTCTTAAAAGTGTATCTATGAGAATGTGTTCTATTGTCCTTGGGGAAAATGGCAGATGGAAATATCTTGTTCTCCCTTATAGCACACGGATAATTAAATTTTACATTGAAAACAAAAAAAAACAACTTAGTAACAGAACAAGCAAACTCTACTAAAATCCATACATAGCATATTTTAGGTACTACCTGCAATGTTTGTTTGCAGCGCTCAATGAGGAGGAAGGGGGAAAGGTGGGTTGTGTGCCAGGCTGTTGGCACCAGCTGTGGTCACAGCAGCCCCTCATTGCTCAGCTATCCCCAGTTGTGCCTTCCTGCCTGCCTACCTGCCCAAAACGATGCAGGGTAAATGGCAAGTCCCAGCCAGGAGCCTGGAACATGAGCTGCCAGCAGGGAAGATTTGTAGTTATGCCAAGCAGCAGTCCAGCAGTTGGCCTGACAGCGTGCCAGGGGAGCCTGGTGCCTTAGCCCCTGACACGTGCGCCTGGTGTTTCCAACCCACTTGCCATATGATTTGGATCTAGATTCAAGAAATGTACAGCTTTTTAAGAAAATAGATGCTAGCTATCCACATAGAGTAAAGAACGCACATAGATATTTTACTTTTATGTATTTATAAACATGCATTTAATATCTATTTCTAGTCATAGCCATTTTACTTTCTTCAGATTTCTTTTTGGTTTTACCCCCCTAAGATTTAAACTATGATAGATGCCATCTTCTATATAACACAAAGAACAATAAAATGAAACAGAAACATTTTTATACTTCAACCAGAGATCAATTCCCAGAGGAAAGAGTTCACAGAATTTTCACCTCAGTCACCTAAAGAACTTATAATGTCTGTACATGTAGGGCATTCCTGTACTTTTTATAGTGCACTGTGATGGTGTACTAGGCATGGTTTTGTAATGATTACTCTGGACAAACAAGAGTGAATCCTCTATTACCATGTGCCTTCCCAAAGGCCCT